TTTCACCACCACTCCCAATTATTTGAAAAGCAATTTCTACTAGAAACATTGTAAAATGTGAGTTTATGAAATAGATAGACGGTTGTTTTTATGGTATTTTATGGCAAAAACTGAATTCGCGCAAAAAAAGAATACCAACATTACCCAGTGTGACTATTTATTTCTGTGAGTTCTTTAATTTAAACCTGCTTTTTTGTTTTCCTTCTAGAACTTTCCGACGATTGTGAGATCTTCATTGACCCGGAAACTGGCAAGCTGTTTATGCGGACCAAGAGCGGAAACATTCTCGGTTAGTCCTCGCTACGCTCGAGGCTCATATTATTTTGCATATAATTCTTGAAAATAAAGAGCCAATTAGAATTTTTTCTTTAGAGGCGGCTTTTTTCCGTTATATTCCCAGCCCCAGTAAGATTTTGTATAAGTAATGGGGTCTAAATTTGGGGAGGGGGATGGAGTTATAATGGAAAAGAATGCAATGAGCTTTTATCTTTTTTAGCATTACACTTTCTTAAATATTTTATATTGTAATTTTCTTAAATAATCCCGATAATTTTTAGATATCTTCAAAATTGCTAAGCAGCAATCGGCAACCAAGAGCAAAAAGCTGAACAGGAAGCCATTTTTTGGTAAAATATCATCGAACATACCAGTTATACCATGTTCACATTTTCAATTGTGTTTTCATGCCAGTGCATGGGTTTGTTCATACTTAACTATAAAAAGTATAGATTTTAAGCCGATCGTTCAATTCAAAACCATATATTCATGTATATAAAATGACTTTTTTTTGTTCTAAATTGAAGTTACTTGGTCTCTAACTTTAGAAATGGGAGATGATATCACGATGTTCACGGATCCCAGAACTGGCAAGACTTACGTGAAGACAATGTCCGGACGCTTTATGGGTAAAGTCTCAGTTTCATAACCTGATTTTATTATTGTATGCGTCGTTCATTATTGTTTCGACAATTTACTGAGGATTAAATTTGAATTTCAGTCTCAGAATCAGGTTTAAGAAAAAAAAATGTCAGTTAGGATCAAACAATAAATAACATAATTTCAAAAAAAGTTCTACTTTTGTGGATTTTTAGCCGACGCAATGTCTCCTAAAACCGTATAAAGATCATGGCAGGCAACTTTTGAAAAAAAACAAGCCAACTGACCGTTTTTGGTAACCTTTTAGAATGTTCAACAAAAACCGCTTTTTTGGCGTGCGCTCGTCCATTATGAGGCCAAACTGTGTATTTTGTGAACTGTGAGCGAATTCCGCAACTGGATGAGAACAAATTTGTCGCAAAATCCGCAACATTTTGGACCTATTTGACACTTTCGATTTCATGAACAAATAGCTAAAACACTGTGTTATGAGAAAAGCTAAAAAAAGCAGTCTAATTTGCGGAATCCGATGCAAAATTTGCGGAATACAGAACAGTGCGGGGAAATCAATGTGCCAACAAAGGTTACACTACAAGATATTTTTGCGCAGAATCTACAAAATTTTGTGTGTGGAATCCATTTGCAGTTTGTAACATTTTTTTTAGACTTTTCTCTGAAATCCAATAACTTAAACGCACCAAACGTTGCGCCTGCCTAGTGTATAGTTCGGCCTCGTAATGACAACTTAGTGTATATTGATGCCAATTTAAAAAATAGCATAACTATTATTTTACACAAATCAAGATTAGCTTGTTACTGACCAAAAAGCAGAAGAAGCTCCGATCCGGGTCAATTTTAGTGTAATGAAAATCGATTTTTCTGTTTTGTTCTTAAAATTTATACAACAATAATTGGTTGATTTATTGAAATTTAACGTATAGTGACTGTATGCGAAGAGTTAATCTTCGCAAAAATCTGAAAAATCAAAATTCTTTTTATGACAATTTTTGGAAAATTTCTCTGCAGCTCTAATCAAAGCTCACAGGGCCTGAATACATAACATCTCTCTGCATCATACAAAGCTGTTATGTAGCATTGTACTAATTTTTTGTGAAAAAAAAGATACTGAACCCAAATTTTCTTCCTTTTTTATGGCAGTGGAAGTTTTTTGGCATGTGATATTTGGCATAAAATTTTGTGCCTTCAATCCGACTACAAAGTTGGAAATTATTGGTGCGTTTTTTTTGCAGTATCATGTGAAAAAAACTTCAGTAAAGAATCGCTTCAAGGTTTCTGGATTTATTACCAAAACTTGTAATAGAAAAACTTGAAAAACAAACAGTTAACTAAAAATTTGATTTTTGGTCAACTAATTATCAAAATCACCTTTTGAACGTTTCAGAGTCTATTAAATTTATATCTCTTGTATAATGAATATCTTCTAATGCTTCCATTTCTCAATGCTGATGAAAAACTTTCACATCGACTGATCAAATTTTGCGAGCGTGTTGTAAATCAAATTTGGATGCTCATTGGTACAGCGGCTGAACGAAAGTTTTGAAGCTTTTCATCAATAATGCTTGGCTTAGAAACTACCTTATGGATTACACAACTGAAACAAACTTATTTCTTTTCATAACTGCCTCGCAATGTTCTGAAAACTTGATGTTTTGTCAAATTTGACGCCTGTACTGACCGGAACACAAAAAGGGGACCCCATTGTCCTTGTTTTGCCCACTGAAATTTAGCAGAATATTTCTCTTCGGATGTAGTAAACAGTTTTTTTTCGCTGTTAATTTTATCGCCGATAATTATTTGTGGTAGTTAGTTAATATGAAACTCAGCCCAGTCTGATAATTATGCGTGGAAAACAAAAAAAAATAAAAAAATAAAACTAAAACACACCGTAAATACAAAGTTCCTCCCCATTTCCAATGGTCGGAACAAATAGGTTATTTAAAATAATCTAGTTCTCGAAAACTTATGAACGCGTTAGGCGCTTCCCTGGAACTTAAGTATTGCTAAAATCAAATGCAGAACTTTTCCATGTTTTTTAAATTGAGTTTTTTATTACAGTTGTAATCATTTAAGTTCAATGCTAATGTTCTAAGCGCACATGTAGGTCCATATTTCGCATCGCTTACAAACAAACGGCCTTCATGGAAAACTTTTTCCTTTAAATTTAAAACAAGACTGCTCGTATCAGGGCGAAGCCCTGAATGTTCCGACTGCCTATTAAGATTTATGGAGCAGTAATAACATTATAAAAAAAATTAAAAGTAATAAAACAAAATGAAATTTTTTTTAAATTTGAAATTTTTTAATAAAAATCATCCCCCCACACGCCATATAAAGTACAAAAAGATAGATTTCGTTCCTTGTAACAAATCAATTATGGCAAATAAGCTTCGTTCAACCAATTTGGAACGATTTATAAGACGGATTAACTCTCCGCTTACGCGTTAATAGCGCGAAATATATCGCGCGTTAATTGTCCCATATTGGCCAAAATGGCAATCTTTAAACCCCCATAACTTTACGAAAAATGATCACAAGTGAAATATCTTTTCAAATTTGAGCTCAAGACAACAATACCTTTCGAATGATATAAAAAAATTCCGTCAAAAATGGCTAGTTAAAAAGTCGAATTTTGTCGGAAGAAAAAAAAACCCACCCCGAGCACAAATATTCCGTTACTTTCGTGTCGAAAGTCGGAATAAAAAGGGGTTTAAATTATCTATGCTGCCTGAAAAGCAACCGGCTACTCTTATTCAGTGATGCTAACTTTGCTAGCCTGAAGATAATTGTTCCGACTTTCGATACGAAAGTAACGGAATATTTGTGCTCGGGGTGGGTTTTTTTTTTCTTCAGACAAATTTCGACTTTTGAACTAGCCATTTTTGACGGAATTTTTTTTATCATTCAAAAATTATTGTTGTCCTGAGCTCAAATTTGAAAAGATATTTCACCTGTGATCATTTTTCGTAAAGTTATGGGGGTTTAAAGATTGCCATTTTGGCCAATTTGGGACAATTAACGCGCGATATATTTCGCGCTATTAACGCGTACGCGGAGAGTTAATCCGTCTTAGAAATCGTTCCAAATTGGTTAAAAGAAGCTTATTCGCCATAATTGGTTTGTTACAAGGAGCAAAATATAACCTTTTGTACTTTGTATGGCGTGTGGGGGGATGATTTTCATTTAAAAAATTCAAATTTCAGAGAAAAAAAATTTCATTTTATTTTTTCTTACATTTATTTTTTTAATGTTATTACTGCTCCATAAACCTTAAAAGGCAGTCGGATCATTCAGGGCTTCGCCCTGATACGAGCAGTCTTGTTTGCTTTTAGATTAGGCCGAAAGATTTAATTTGAGTTGGTTTTTTTCAGAATTAGACGAAGACATGGAGGTTACTATCGACCCAGTCACTGGCAAGATGTTCGTCAGAACCAAGTCCGGAACCCTCAAAGGTTTGCCTAAATGTATTTAACAAAAAGATACATCAAAAGTTTGCGATTCAGAACGCTCTTCCAAAACTTTCAGTATGAGAATTATTACCGAAAAGAATTTTTATTTCTTTTCATTGGTTAGACTTGTTACACTTATGTTAATTTTTTGGAGAAAAAATGATTGAGTGTTTTTTTCCAGAAAATATAATTGAATTCATGTCGTTTAGAGTTGGCATGTGAGATGGAGACTATCATAGATCCGATCACTGGAAAGAAAATCGTCAGACCCAAAGGAGGTAAGTCAAATTGAGGACCTTTTTAGCGACCCCGGACCCCTATTTTTCCTTACGTACCATAGGGTTTTGGTTTTACCATATGTTTTAAGAGTGATCAACATCAGAAAGCTGGGCTTAAAAAGGCTTAAAACCAATAAATGCTCAAAATTATAGGAAAAAAACTAAACGTTCAATTAACCAAAACATTAACATAAAAGATTTTATTGAACGTAAGTTGAAATGTGCATTTTAGGCAAAAATAATCTATCAGTCATAGGTAACCGACATTTAGAAATTTTATTCCAACTTTTTATCAAACCAATCATCATTAGTTTAGCGAATGCACGTTTTTTCAACTGTCAACCACACTGCTTTAGTTGAAATAGTCGAGAGGCGCAATTTCATCCCAGAACTCTAAAATATCCCAATACGCTAGCTCGTGATTAACTGCGTCACCCGATCCATATTTAACCAAATCATCTTCGGTTTTTGAAATACTCAAGTTTTTTATTTTGATTTCTGGTTGCAGTTTTTCGATATTGAGCGTAACAGGTGAACCAAATAATTGTTCACGATCTTCTGATGAAATTTCATCAAATCGGCACAATGCACCGACTAAATTCATAGTTTTTACGCTTACGTCTTGGTCTTTTTGAGTGTGGTTTTCATTCAAGAAGTTAAAAAGTAGCGGCATTTCATAACCATGTGTACAATTAAAGTAATCCGGAAGTCGGCCGTTCGTTTGCTTATAATCGTGCAACTTGAAGTATACTTTTGTAGCATCTGATTTCATTTTGAGAACGAATTTGAGGCATTTCAGGAGAGGATAATCGCTCAAATAATTTCCGACGGCTAAAGCACATTTGTGGAATAATGTCTCTTCAACATCGCCAAAAAGAACTTTCTTTCCCTCATAAAAGTTACAAATTTTCTCGTAATTCTCGCCATTTTGAGCATCTTTGGGTAAAAATCTCTCAAAAACTCGCGCTAATGAGCCTGTGTATAATTCTCTGTCGTTTTGATTTAGACGATCGCTAATTTTTTCTCTTAAAAAGTTACATAGAAATGCATCACCCTCAGATTGGGTTGATGTAATCAAAATTTCCCTAATTTTGTTCAATTTTGTCTGAATTTTGATCAGATTGCTCTGAAAATCGAAATCCATAAACGGAATGAACTTCATAATTTTTCCAGACGATTTGACGTTTTGATTGTGGAAAGCCTCGACATGTAGATCTTGAAGAAATTTTTGAACCAATTCTACTTCGTGTGTGGTGTTTTGTTGATCCTTCCAACCGTTCTGAATCAAGAACTCGTTTGAATATTTTATTGATCTCTCACAATCTTCCTTGTTTGATTGGGTTGATGTGGACCAAAACGTCGGAGCTAAATATTTTAAAAGATAATCGAATAGCTCTTTTTCATCTAAAACAGAATTTTTACAGTAATACTGCTGCCTGTTCAACTGAGCTTTTCGTTATTTGAAATTTGGATCATGATGACCGAATCTAAAACTAACTAAACCGAAACAATAATTTTGGGCTTTCGGTCTTATGTGGTAAATGTCACTCCCCAATTTGAAAATCATTGCGAATTTTTTCGAGCGTTCACGAAAAGAATTTGGCCTATATGGTGTTTTTCAAGCTAAATCAGTAAACTATTATCAAAGTTTGGGTGTTACAAAAAATTTCGAAGTTTTTTATGTCAACAAATTTTTGTCTGAATATTTTTCCTTTTTTCAGACTGAAATTAAAACTAATTCTCAGAGTGAATAGCTCGCTCTTACTACAATCAGCTTTCATTTGTAGTGGTGTTAGCCATTGTTGTTCCGACTTTCGATACGAAAGTGACGGAATATTTTTGCTCGGGGTGGGTTTTTTTTTCTTCAGACAAATCTCGACTTTTTAACTAGCCATTTTTGACAAAATTGTTTTATATCATTCAAAAGGTATTGTTGTCCTGAGCTTAAATTTGAAAAGATATTTCACTTGTGATCATTTTTCGTAAAGTTATGAGGGTTTAAAGATTGCCATTTTGGCCAATTTGGGACAATTAACGCTCGATATGTTTCGCGCTATTAACGCGTAAGCGGAGATTTAATCCGTCTTGAAATTATTCCAAATTGGTTTGGAAAATTTATTCTTTTAAACTTTATATGGCGTGTGGGGTGATCATTTCATTAAAAAAATTTCAAATTTAAGAAATTTTTTTTTTCATTTTATTTCATTACATTTAATTTTTTTATGTGCTCGATAAACCTTAAAAGGCAGTCGGAACATTCAAGGCTTCGCCCTGTTACGAGCAGTCTTGTTCTGATTTCAAATTGAAAGAGAAAAATACACTTCATTGTGCTCACAAAGCGCGACGCATCGCCACTATAAAATAAATATGTTAAATATGGAAAAGCTACTGGAATAACTCGTATAACGTTTTAAGCATTGGAGATTAAAACGACTATTCTCGTTACATACGAATTATAATGATTCCTCTCGTAAATCACGAATATACGAACAACTCATCTCGTGAAATACGAATCCACGAATAACACTCACGATAACTTCTTATTTGCTACGACAAATTGGGAGATTTCCCAGTTGAGTATAAACAGAAGCTAAAAACTACCGAAATTCATTCCAACAATTTTCTCTTCAACCACCCCAACCCTTCTCTATACATTACTATCCATTCTCAGTCAAAATATCTCAAATCTCACCCTTAAAATAAATATCGAGTCTAAAGGCAACTTGCAGTAAATTAATACTAACTTCTTTTCTAATAAAATATTTCCAGCGAATTTTAAAGTTACTTTCTAAGATAGAAAGTAGAAAGAGCCCTATATTACTAGCAAGCGTTTTGTCCGGCATCCATAGTATTGCTAGCGTAATACCATATTTCAGTTTTTTATCATTACAAATTATCAATCCGCTTCGTTTTTCCGAAAAAATGACGAAAAACGTTTAATTTTTTGACTAAAAAGTTCTTTTTTCAATCGTCTACTCTTAATGGTTTCTATATGCTTTACCAACCTCCACTCATCAAAATGATTCTTTCGAAGTTGAAGTGAGAGTTTGGGTTGATAGAGTGATAGGCCACCGACACTGATCCAGCGCTATGGCCACTAAAATTGACTAATCTTTATTCACATCTGAGTAAACATGAAATTTAATTTTTTGTTTTTGTCAAAATCGCTTCGAATTTTTTAAAATGTATCTAGAGTTTTCCAAATTTTTTGTATGATTTCTGGGTTTTTTTGAATGTGGATACAAAAGCCATTATTTGTTGAATGTCATTACGGTGCATAATTACATGCTAATAAAAAATCTACTAAGAATCTTTGACTTTGACTAACCAAAGTGTGATATTATTTGGGTTCCCTCCAAAGCACTCAATATAGGAGTCCACCCACTGAAGAGCAACTTCCTGGTCCCTCAAACCCAGATTAGGCTCCACTACCCCGGGCAAATTGAGGAATCCGAGAACTCCGAGACGGTAGTTGAAAGTCACAACTACAATATCTTGGCTGGCACTTAAATTAGCTCCATTGTAAATTCTGTCCGAAGCTGTGCCTCCTTGAAAGGCTCCTCCATGGATAAAAACAAATACTGGACGCAGTTTTGGATTCACTGTGGCGTTTTGTTGATTTTCTGGTTTCATTTTTGGAGTCCATATATTGATAGATAGACAATCCTCGTTTTTCTGAATGTCTGGATTGGTAAATCCAGGCGGCTAAAAGTCAGATTTTTCATTTTTGCCGTCATATGACAATTTTCGATGGATTGAGTGGGAAGTTCAAACATAAGTTTGCAAACAAAAATTGCTTACTTGAATAGCAGCATTTCCAAATGAAACTGCTTCGAAACTCTCTTCTGGTAGTTTGGTTAACAAATCACACTTTTTGAATCTGTATTGACCAACTGGCTGGTTTTGTACATAAGGGACTCCCAGGAACTGATTAGCAACGCTTCCATATCGTGTTGTTTTCACGGATCCTTTGATATATCCAGCAGGTGTCGAAACAGTAACGATATGACTTTCCATAATGATTTTTCAAATTTGAGAAAATTTCATATTTATATGCAAGAACCGAAAAAAATGTAGTAAGCCAGTGGTTTCGATGTATTAAAACGTATACACCATTCAACATTATCAACTATCACTCTGACACAAAATAATAGCTAAATCATATTTGGCGTTTAGATAATTTAAAACATGGCTAGGCTGTCAATTTTTTTGTAGTTAAAGTAGATTTCTTTCTTCATAAACACAGTTATGCGTCAGCATTAAAGAAGTATTTGAATAATAAAGCGAGCTTTGCTGATGTTTGGCATATACAGTGTAACGGCTTGAGCATAATTGTCGTTTTTTTCTGCTACTGTTGTTGTTTAAATAACTGGTTGTTGACTTCTTATAGTTAAAGACGAAAAATTTGTGACCCTCAGCAATATCGGTGACCTTATTAATCGGTCAAAACCTATTTTTGGCTATTCTTTAGCGTCACATTTTTTTTACAATTCTTAAGATTTTTGACGCAGATTTTACGAGTTGAATTGAGTGAAAAAATTATTTCCGCTGCCAAGCTGAGCACTTTTAGATTAAATAACTGGCCGAAAAAATGATATTGCCAAAACAATATGGCATTAACAATCAAATAACGCTACGAAATGATGTTATCTTTTCAAATCTGTTTGATCACGACTTGACTTTGTCGATTTGGTTAAGTAGTAACTCCCAACCGTGATGGTTTAACTGAACTGACCAACACAAACACGCCTTCAATAAAAATGATAAAGTATTTGATTGAACCCGACTTCGAAAAGATAACCAACCACTCTGCAGGTTTGCCCGCATGGTCGAAAAGATAACCAATCTGCTGTGCCATGCAATCTCAATTATGTTTAAGAACCATTTCACTTCATTAATATCATTAATGTCAGTTTTGCTCTTAGTTGCTTGCAATTTCCAATGTTTCAACCCAAATTAGACCTCATCTATAGAAGATTGCACAGGATTGTCAATAAATACTAACTTTGAGAGAAGGGGGGGGGGGCAAAAAAATGTAAATTTTTGATCAAAACTCCAAAAAGTGCCAAAAAAACTCTTTTTGGCCTGTTTTTTTTTCAAAAATTCGCGTGAAACGCAAATAATCAATATCGCCCTTGACATACTATTGATTTTGATCAATTCACCCGCACATTAATAAAATACAGTTTTTTGCAAAATGAAAAGGCTCAAAAGCTATATTTAAAAAAACGCGAACTAAAACTGCCGCCCCTAAAACTATTGGATGCTAATATATGTCTCAGAGCATATGTTTTTATGTCTTTTAATGGTATGTTCGATGTTATAGTTGAACTTATTTCAACAACGAAAATTATTGCTGTTCCGACTTTCGTAACTAAAGTAACGGAATATATGTGCTCGGGGAGGTTTTTTATCTTCAGATGAATTTCAACTTTTTAACTAGCCGATGCTGACAATTCTTTTTATATCATGCAAAAGGTATTGTAGTCTTGAGCTTGGGTTAATAATATTTTTTTCAAATCTGAGAATTTATTTCTCGCCAAGTACCACAAACCTACTAAATAAACTTCCGCTCTGAGACACCTGTGATTGGATCTGTAGGTCTAATGGTAATCTCCTAAGCAGTAAAATTGTTGGCCTGGTTTGTAATTTTATTGACTACCCACAATGGATTTGCCTGAAAACATTTTCTTATTGTTGTTCCGACTTTTGTAACAAAAGTAACGGATTAAATATGCTCGGGGTGAGCTTTTTTCTTCAAACAAAATTCTACTTTTTAACTAGCCGTTTTTTACAATTCTTTTTATATCATGCAAAAGGTATTGTAGTCCTGAGCTTAAGTTTCAAATAATTTCAATTCTGTAAATGTTTTTCTCGCCAAGTACCAAAAACTTACTAAATAAACTTCCGCTTTGAGACAGCTGTGAACTGACTGACCTGCAGCTTCAATGGTGTTATCCTAGGCAGTAAAATTGTTGACCTGGTTTGTAATTTTATTGATTACCCACAATGGATTTGCCTGAAAACATTTTCTTATTGTTGTTCCGACTTTTGTAACAAAAGTAACGGATTAAATATGCTCGGGGTGAGCTTTTTTCTTCAAACAAAATTCTACTTTTTAACTAGCCGTTTTTTACAATTCTTTTTACATCATGCAAAAGGTATTGTAGTCCTGAGCTTAAGTTTCAAATAATTTCAATTCTGTAAATGTTTTTCTCGCCAAGTACCAAAAACTTACTAAATAAACTTCCGCTTTGAGACAGCTGTGAACTGACTGACCTGCAGCTTCAATGGTGTTATCCTAGGCAGTAAAATTGTTGGCCTGGTTTGTAATTTTTATTAATAACCCACAATTGATTTGCCTGAAAACATTTTATTTTTGTTGTTGTTCCGACTTATGTCACGAAAGTAACAAAATATTTGCGCTCGGGTGAGTTTTTTTTCAGACTCATTTCGTCTTTTTCAAATTTCGACAGCTGGAAAAGAAACGTGTACATGATTGGTTACACTCTTGTATTTGTAATGAAATGCTCAAATTTTAGGAGTGGGACTTGGGTTTGAGCTGTATGTAGATCCAGAGACTGGCAAAGCATATTTGAGACCCCGCGATGGTAAGTACAAAACGACAAAGAAACGAACCTGAATTAATTTGCAAAAAAAAATTAGGTTTTGACGGATCTGACTTCTGGTGTTTAACGATTGGAATTAGATAATCCAGATTCAACCATTCTGTGATTTAGCAAAATGCTTGTTATAACAATAATTTTCATAATTATAAGAGTGATCGAATTTAGATGATCAAAATCCAGATTAAAAAAAGCAAAACTCAAAACAATCTAAGCAATGTTTCCAAATAAAACTAATTAAAAACTCCTTGAATTTTGTCTGGCTTGGATTTTTGTTGATTAAATCGGACTAGTTAATGTCCATTCTAACGCCATATACAAGGTTGTTTGTGAATCAACTGTTTGTAACGACGATATTTATAAAATTTTAATTGTCTTAACTAACCAATAACTAATCTAACTCGGACTAACCCCCTTCGTGCAGAGAAGGAGGAGAAATTGCTGCGAGACCTGGTGATGCTGGTGAGACCCGGACTCGGATTCTACGACGTCGACCCCGAGGAAATCTTCGTGGATATGGGCAGCGACGACTACAAGGTAAAGTTCAAAAAATACTCGTGTCAAAGTCCTTTTCTGATATCATATGACTTTGCATGTAAAACGGGTCGAGAAGTATTTTTAGGACTAATTTTACGCCTATAATTTACTTCTCGCTGAAAAGTTTTTATTTTCTCGAGCAGTTATGAAGTCATACAAAACAAGGCTGTTCAATTTGCACAAAGCAGTCTGGCCACAACATCAAAGAAGAGCAATTGAAAATTGGCTAATGAAACATTAACAATTGAATGTTTTAATTTTTTGTTAACTTTTTTTTTTTAGAATTTTCATCAAAAACTTCTCTGGATAATTAATTTTAGGGAGTCGGAGGAACCTAACTGAACTATGTTTTTGGCTGTAAGATTTAGCCACTGGGGTGTGAAGTATCGTATCGACGATAGATAATTCGATGTCGATAGAATATCGCGATACATTGAACCCTCTTGATAGATTATCCGATAATTGCGATTATCAGAAACCAATATATTAAATGATTGACAGAATACTTAATGCAATGTTGTAGCTGAAATTAAGCGCAATGGTTGAGGGGTTATGGAGCGCAACGCTTAACAATAAATTTGTCTTTTTAAAGTGAATAAGTGGTCGTCCATCCAAGATTGTTTAACACGATAAAAAACATATACAATGTTATGATACCCCAATGCAAACTAGAGATTGCTTAGCATTGTCCATCATAATTCAAACTTGGGACAGTCGGCACCCCTATATCAAAAAATAGAGATAGAAAACGTATTTTATTTGTCTTTCGCTTCTATATTGCTTTTCATTCTTCTTGTTTATAAAAGATGCAAACATGGCTAAGTAGTGCGCGTTATGTGATGTCTACCCGTCAATAACAAGTCCAAATGCTCGGGTCCCGGGTTGACCTCTATAGACCGAAAATGCTAATCATACAACTTCATACACTTAGTCTATGGAAAAATGCTAAACCTACAAATTTCATACGTTTTTGCAAAATGAGTTTAATCTCATTTCAAAGGTATTTTATAGTTGTTTTGGTATCGAAATTGGTATCTCTTCATAAAAAAGGAAAAAAATGGTATGAAAAAAACTGCTAGCCATACAATTTCCATATATGGAAATTGTATGATAAAAATTTAAAAAAAAAAATTTTTTTTTTGTGAAAAAAAGCTTTTAGCAATCAATTCAGCTGCTGGCAAAACATTAAAGCGTTTTTTGGGCTGCTACGACTGAAAGCTTTGATTTTTTTTATTTTTGTTTTCTGAAAAAAAACACTAGTCATACAATTTCCATATAAGGAAGATGTATGACAGGCATTTTTTTGATGGCGACGACAAAAATTTTTCTAAGTTTTTTTGAAATTGCCCCCAAAATTGTTTTTGTGTTTTTTACTAGCCTTTTTCCATATATGGAAATTGTATGACTAGTATTTTTGGTCATCCCGGGGTAACTCTACTTCAATTTGTTTTTCCACTTCTCTTGTAAATAAGTTTTTGTATTTTGTGAAAATTTTGCTACATCTTTGCTTCTATTTCGAAAACCTGCGAGTGTTCCCACTCTCGCAAACAGTAATAATAATAATAATCATAATAATGGGATTTAGAGACTAAAGTCTCAAGGGTATGTTTCAACCCGATAACAGTCGGAATCTAAGCGAGGGAGAGTTTCGGCAATTTGAGCATCGACAGTGCATCTTCCAAGTGCACAAGTTGTCTGTGTCATAGACGTCAGTCGCGAAGTTCTTGTACAGTCGAGTGAGGCGCTGTTTCAGACCAGCGGGCTGATGGAAGTTGACGATCGGGTCAATAAAAATCGCTAATCGTGAACACCTGTTCCAGAAGTTGTTTTCGCATTTGGTATACCGGTAATTCTTGACATGAAAGGCAACAGTAGTAGTACTCCTGGTAGTCGATGGAGCAGAGAAGCGTACATGTGAAGACGAGTCATAATCGTATTTTCCATTTAATATTGAAGAAAAGAGTAAGAGATCATGAAGTTCAATGTATAGACAAATAGGCAGAAGAGCGAGCTGAGCCAATCTTTGCTTATAGGGTAGAGGTGTAAAATTTAAAATCAATTTGGTTGCTTGCTCAAGATTCTTCAGTTCAGAGCGATTAGCACAATATACTGGCGACCCATATAGAAGGACTGGGACGATAAACCCACAATAAGCATGAGGTTTAGTGAAGGAGGCACAAGAGTCAGATGTGTTGCGCTTGATAAGAAGCAGACTTTTTGAAGCTTTGGAGACCCGAAAATTGGTGTGATGTGACCATGTCAGTGTGTCAGTGATGAAGACGCCGAGATCGCGTTCTTTACTATCGCGATGAATGGTAAGATTACTGCAGTGTACGTCTCGAGGTGTACCGCGAAACCAAATCGTCTTGCTCTTGGTTGGATTAATTGACATGTAGTTATCAGCGCACCAACGAATGATAGTATTCGCATCATTTGACAGATCCGGGAATGACGTTGACCAGAGTTTGATATCGTCTGCGAAGGCAGAATTGAGGCAGGTTAAGGCGGTAAGCAAATCGTTCAAATAAATGAGAAACAATAAAGGTCCAAGTATGGAGCCTTGGGGAACACCACTTGTAATAAGCAACGCCTGTGAAAGTTTCTCGCCAACTCTAACCCTTTGGGAACGACCAATCAGGAAGCTTGCGACAAGGGAGAGTAGCTTTCCTTTTACACCGATTTGGTGAAGCTTGCGAATAAGTACAGAGTGTGATACACGATCGAAAGCTTTCTCAAAGTCCACGTACAACTTCAGTAATTCATTGACGCTCAAATCATCGTATTTATCATACAGATTGTCGAGGTACTGAAGGAGCTGCAAAACAGCAGACTGATTTCGCAGGTATCCAAATTGATTCGATGAGAGCTTAGGACTCACAAAATCGTACAGCTTATTGAATATTACACGCTCAAATATTTTACTGGCCGCAGGTAGCAGTGATATCCGTCGGTAACAGGAAACCAAGGATTTGTTACCATCTTTGAAGATTGGAACGATCACAGATTCCTTCCAGACACTGGGGAAAAGACCCTTGCACGTACATGTTTTGAAGAGAAGCAGCAGCGACGGTGATATGACCTGGTACAGATGTTTGAAAATGCAGTTTGGAAGATTGTCCGGGCCTGTAGAGACTGAGATTTTCATCTTCGCGCAGATATGCTCAATGGCTTCATTCGTGATTGTGATATGGTGAATTGTCGAATGTGACTGTTTGTCTGGAAGAGGAGAAGAATCGTGCGACAGAGGATTATATACGGAAGCGAAGTATTTGTTGAATAAATCAGCCTTATCAATGTCCGTAGCAGCTTCCAGCTGGTTCCAATGCATTTTGTCAGGCAGAGTTGAAGAACCTTTAACAGATTTGAAGTACCGATATAGGTCTCCGAAGTTTCGGCTAGAGAATACGTCACACTCATACTGTTGTTTATCGTCGTTGAGAGCATTCATTGCCGAGACCTATGCATTGCACAACGTGGTCGGGTTAGAATAGTCCACATGCTTCCGGCGAATATTTGCAATTTTGATGAGGTTGGACGTCGCTTGTGAGGTCCACGGAGGAAGATTACGGCGGTGCTTCGTTCTTTTTGGAACATGCCGTGCGATACCGTCGTTTATCCATTTGTACCAGGAGCATGTAAGGACGTCCACACTACTGTAGCAATAAGGAGAAAACTTGTGGGTTCGGAAGTAATTAGCCATTTCTTCCCAGTCGACTCTGGAGTAACTGAACTGGGTGCTAGAAGGTCGGTTAATAGCTGTTATGGAAAGATCGAGTTCAATGCAATAAGGTTGATGGTCAGAGAGAGCCCGGCCCATGGTTTGCAGAGAGTCGGATAACGATTTATCACGGCAGCAATTTAGAACAAAGCTGTCTGCATTGCACAGGATAACGTCGAAGTTGGCGCCGAGCAGCTGTTCAAAGTTGTATTGGGAAAGGATTTTCAGTATTTTATATTCATAGGTGTTCGCAGAAGACATCGCAATCCAGTTAGTGGACGTGAAGTTGATGTCGCCACATATTATTGTGAATGAGCAAGTCAGAGTGGATTGAGCCCTTGCCAAGTCGGGACTAATGAAGAGAAGTCGGCTAGTGACCAGTGGTAAAGGCTGGTGGATGGAGGGTTGTAAATACAGCAAACAATGAAGTTGACCGCAACGACACTACACATAACGGATACACAATTGTTGTACTGGCGAGAGAGTTGCACAACGTCCGCTTTTACCCAGTCAGCAATGCTGATTAGGACACCCACATGACGGCTACTGCCAGTATGACGGTGATCACGGTCACGTCTGAAGATACGATAACCAGGAAGAAATATGGCGGCATCCGTAACGGAATCAGTGAGCCATGTTTCGGTCAAGGCAAACATAGTAACCTGGCGAGTCATTATGGCGTTGGCAAATAGCATTCGCCTTGACAGATGTAGTAAACTGCGAATGTTATACGAGACTAGGTTGATAGTTGATTTGACTACTTGGTTTGGCGGTGACGGGAGTCAACATTCCACTACACTCCACCTGTTTTCAATTTTCTGTTCCAACGAAAATTGGATGGTCGTCCATGATAATCCAGTCCAACCATCCAAACAGGTTTGCCGTTTTCTGGTTGGTAAAACTAATCTCTACAAGCCGCTGCTTCTGGCAAAAATTTTGCTTGAAGTTCGGATGAGCCGAACGAATATGCGACATTAACTTTGATATTCCGGCTCTTTTTGGCACTTGCGAATAGTGGAGTGTTTTTTGCATTTATAGTACTTGTCACATGAATTGGAAGTGCTCTCAGCAAAATAGAACAGTGCGATTGCTTTGATCATGACAACTGGTGGTTTAACAAAAGCACAAGTGTGACACATCTTGTGAATATATCAATCGCTACATTAAGTTTGTTTGCGTGCACAGCTTCTGATTGGTTTGATTGCTCGAAATTTGGTATTAGGTAAAATATCGAGGTTCCAGTCGATAGATATTTCGAGATAATGTATCGCGATTTATCGGATATGCAATTATCGATTTTTCACCCCCCTGATTAGCCGTTAATAGCTGGAAAAAAAGTAACTGAACTGTAAAACCAAATTTTACAGTTGTAAATACTCAATTCTTCGCCTTCTTGTAAATACGTTTGCAAAACGGAAAAAAACCGCACCTGTTTCTTAAATATTTTAGAAATTTTTTGAAACATTTTTTGAAATTCTAGTCTCAATAATTGATGTATGATTGATTGACAGCCTCAATAAAACAATTATCCCACAATTTGTCAACAAAACTATCAACTTCAAAAACACAATAGCCTAACTTAGCGACAATACAAAGATTTAGACGCACATTTAAACGGGTCTAGAACAACAAGCCAACGGGACTTCAAGTCGAATGGACTTCAAGCCGAAATTAAAACTTTACAAGCACCCCAAAACGCTATTTTATCATCTGCAAAATGATGCTTTTCTAAAATTTTGGCAAGTTTAGTCCATAATAAGCGTTATTCATGACAATGCACCACTTGTGATTCGCATCCGTTAATAACATCAGCCGGTTTTTGAAATGCAAAAATTACAAACATGAAAAATGCCTTCAACCATGTTTTACTTTTCAACTTTCCGGAACATCATTTGGAAGCTTAAATTATATGCAAACGCCAGTAACTAGTGAAGAAAGATCATGAAATTCAGAAGTTCTTCAAAAAAGTTTTCAAATGGTTCATATTTCACGACTTTATAAGGAATTATTCGGCTTGAAGTCCCTAATTTTACAATTCGGCTTGAAGTCCCGTCGGCTTGATATCCGGCACCACATTTAAACTCGAGCCGAATGGAAGCGCAGCGGAGCAAGCTGACACTAATAGGAAATGCCGCGTTTGACGTTAGCGTTGTGACTTGCTAATCGTTCTGAGTCTGCTTAAAGATTGGTCTGTTGAAAAACCGGTCTGCTAAACTCCCTAGCACCTGCTCCAACATTCTCAAGCAAATGTAGTAAATTCAGTACTGTAGCATGGATCAAACATAGATAACACTGAACCAACTCTGTTCGTAGATACAGATACAAGTTAAATCGGACAGGTAAATTAAAAAGTGTAAAAAAACGTTGGTAAATTTTTAGTTGTCACTTTCAAACATAACTTATGATATAATTATTGTCACTGTACAAAGCAATTTATAAAAAACAGTCCAAAAAACAGTTTCAAGTCATATATTTTTTTGAAAATTGGTAGACCGAGAATTGCTATTTTTCCAGCAACATAAATAACTTAAAATAATGACCTCCGCAGTCGTGCCAACATGCTGCGAGCTTGCCAACAGAGGTTAAAACTCTAAACAAAAAATTGAGCTGGTATTACACAAAGCGGCGACGCGCGCTGCCTTAATCCGACTCAAATTTAGTGTATATTGGTGCTCACGGCGCCTTTAGAAATATTTAAGGGTCAGACAGCCAACATGGATATATCAAAACAGTACAGAAAGGTGATTCTTTGGGTCCGCAGGGGGTCAAATCTCTGAGGGGGGTTTCAAATATAGTTTTACACTGATCAGAGAAAAAATGCCTCTCTACCGAGTCTTATATAGCACTACGTTTTCGCGAAATAAAGTCGCATAGGAAATCAGTATATTGCGGCAGCAATATTACAAAATCATGATACGGAAATTCAAAATTGTAGCATTTTATTAGGCATAGACAAACGAAAAAAATATATTTAGCTTGTTCCTTTTTTCAGATATCGGTGTAGTATAACTTTCTATGCAATTTGCACTGCATCCAGCATATCTTTTATCTTTGGGGTTAATTCTTTGAATCCTGCTATCTTTGGGGATAAATTTACACGCAACTGTCGTCGTTGTGACTTTTAGGCTGAGTTTGAGAATGTGTCGTGGACTGACCAGTTGAACACAATTGGACAGAAGAACAAAGATGTGGATGGGGAGAAGGAAGAAGAGGAAAAAAAGAAGGCGGAGGAGAAACGAAACATGGAAGAAAGTGAGCATACTAAGATTTGGTTACGTAGCAGTATTTAGACAACCGCGTATTCAGACACTGTATTAACCAATCAGAATCGAGACAAGGAAGAAATGAATTTCATTTCTTCCTAGTCTCGATTCTGATTGGTTAATACAGTGTCTGAATACGCGTTTGTCTAAATGCAGACCGCACTCCCTAAGATTGATAGCTCTTTCCTCCTTTGAGTCTTTTCTGTTATATGGCCAAAAAGCTGATTTTTTTTTGCAATTTGAAAGTCTGATCATGATGCTTGAATCCGATTGGTTGAAATTGATACCAGCAAAAATGAATCTGGGTTTAAAATGACAACAAAAGCTCAATTAAAAGTTCGATATTTTTTTGGTGGGGGTGGGGGGGGGGGGGTAACAGAAAAGACCTCATTTTAGTTTTTGCTGAAATGCGATTTACCTAATGCAAATACAAAAATTTTGCTGTAATAAATTGTGTTAAATTATAACAGTGTGAACAAAGCAGTGAACAGGTATGAAACCCACTCTTATTTTATACGAACTGCGATGTGAACAACTTGAAGACATTTTTTATGTGGTAATTTTACGAGGGGTTGAGGAAACAGGAAAAAGCTATTTGAAGACCCTCGCGTTCACATTTAATTAATTGATGAGAATACAGTATACAAGCATATGGTAATTTCTAATAAATAGTCCCAGTAAAATTGTAAAAATTTTCGATCAAAGGTACGTCCCTGATTCTGAAATTGTTCAGATAGATATTACACAATAACTAAAAAATAATAAATATAAAGATTCACCAGCGGATTTAGGGGGGAGGGCGGGGGGGCGGACACTTTTTCTTCAGGGATTCGGCCCCCTGCCGACCCTTTGGTTCTTTTTAAGAAATCCATTTTTGGCCGACCGACTCTAAAATTTTTCTAAATGCGCCTTGGGCGCAAGTATATACTAACTTTGAGGGGGAGCGCGCGCCAAAAAAACGCGATTTTTTTTGTCAAACTTCTCCAAAAACTGCCCAAAAACGGCTTTTTTGACCTGTTTTTTCAAAATTGTGCCTGCGACGCAGAAAATTTGGCGTAAACAGTGTCTTTATTACTGCTTTAGGAAAACTCCGAAAATCAATGTGGTCGACCTGAAAAAAAAAGGTCAAAATTTTCGAAATTTTTTTTGGAAATCCGCCCCCCTCGAGAAAATCCTAGTATACATTGAAACTTCAATTTGTTACCTTTTAGAGGCCTTTGCACTCATTTATGCCAAGAACAGTAAGCTGAGTAGAACTTTTATTTTTCTTCATCTTCATTCTTCAGTTCTGCTCAATTATTTTTCTATCTCTCACATATATTTTGCTATTTTAGTCGACTTTAGTCATTAAAAATTGTTTTTTTTTTGTTTCAGTGGCGCTGAAAATGCGAGAAAGCAAGTCCCGAAACCGAAAAGGGAACAAAAAAGGAAACTTGTAAGTATCTTTCCCGAAAAAAACTTCCACATTTTTTCATTACCTTAACAAAGCCTCGTGTTTTCAGGAAAGTAGAGAAACCAGCAAAATCCAAAGATTCTGTCAGCTCAAAGTTGTCAACCAGGAATGAAAAAGACAGCTACAAAGCTTTGGCCAAAGCAGAAAAAGTTGTCCGAATTGTGACGACTTTGTCAAACAGCAATCATAAATTGGAAAAAGTGGAAAAATCAGTTTCTTTCAAAAAAGAAAAACACGGCAGCGATTCAAGACTAGAAAAGCAAAAAACCAATTTGACCGACAAAGATTCGGAGAAAGGAGACCAGCCTGTGATTTCGGTCACAATTACTGAAAAGAAATTTGACCGAAAATATTCGCAAGAAAAACTTAGAAAAAGTGAACAACCTTCGAAGTTTCTGAAAACTTCGCCAAATGCAATGACACCATTGGCCCAATCATTGGCTGGGAAGTTAAAAGATCTGCACGTAATCGAACAACATGAAAAAGTTAAAGTTGACCAGGAAATCAAAAGTAGAATGACAAAAGCTATAAACAAAGCAAAAATGATCGAAACTTTAACGCATAAAAAGTTCAACGAAAGAGAAAAAACTGAAGAAATTGCTCCTAAAATTTCGATTTCTCACGCCGATGGAAAACAGAGTAAAGTTGGTTTAAAAACCGGAAGAAAATCGCCCTCTCGTAGTGGTTCTATAAGCCCCTCCCCGCAGAGAGCTAGAAAAAGTGGGAAGTTTTTAGCCCCACCTTCGCCGGCTAAGGGGGGCAAAAGTGGTAAGGGTTCGAGTAAGTCACGTGGGGGTAAAGTGAAAGATGAGTCATCGAAGCAGGACACAGTCGATGAAGGAGACGAAAATGAGGAGAAAAAAGAAGAACCGAAAGTCGACTGGAGGAAAATGAACCCTGGTGAGTAATTTTTGAATCACTTTTTGAAATATAATGAATCGCTTTTTCTTAGACGTCTGAAAAAGTAAAAGAAAACATCAAAATAATGGCCAAAAAATTTTATATGTGACTTTTTTAATACAATTTACAAAAAATTGATATTACTCTTATGGCGCTCTTTCAAGTGATGTTTATCAAAAAGAATTTAATTATTCTAAACTTGTTTGTGTCATGACGTCACATGGAAACAATTTACTTATAGATAGAGCCGAGCATTTTTACATGCATTTTTCTTTTTATTTGATTTAACAAAAAGAAAAATGCGTTCAATTTACAATGACTGTGTAGGATTTTTTTGATGGTGTTTTGAAAATTTTCGTGTATCTTTTGCTGAGTCATTTCAAACTTTACGTCCTCTGGCGAGACCTCAAAATGACTGTATTTGGCATAATTTCGCATATATTTTTTCTCATGCTGTTTTGTTTGAAAAAAATGCAGTGTTTTACCAAAAAAAAGCGCATTTGTCGGCTAGTTCTCCTTCCACGAAATTAGTATATATTATATATTGACGATGTTTGATAATGTTTAATATTGGCCAGTGCTAGCTGCCCTATATTACTACCATGGGACAGGGGCGAATCTAGGAGTTTCACGAGGGGGGGGGGGGGGTGGATTTTCAAAAAAAATCGAAATTTTGTCCAACCTTTTTTTTTTAGGCGGCCAAATTGATTTTCTGAGCTCTCCCAAATCACTACAAAGACCATGTTTTGGCCGAAATTTCTGAACCGCAGGCAATTTTTTGAAAAAACAGGCCAAAAAAGGCGTTTCTAGGCACTTTTGTTTAATCACAATTTGAAATTTCAGATTGGATCCGATTCTGAGGACGAGTATATAATATAATATAAATTAACCAGTGTTATACTAACAAGATTGTTTCGATAACTTGTATCCCAGACTGACTACGAATATTTCGATCAAGTTGAAAATTTGATTTTTTTTTTTCAGATTTACTGGACGAGGTAAATAAAATTCATTAAATAATCAACCAATTGTAATTATCTCATCAAAATTTAGTCTGTTTGTAACATAAAATGAAGTTGGCCATAGGATGGAGCAGATTTTTCAATTCTTTTCCACTCACCCCCCCCCCCCCCCCCCCCACACACACACACATTTCAAAATTTCTTCTTTCATTGTTTAATTTCGTCTTCTAATGGATAAATGCATGATGTTATGATGAAAAGTATGTACAAATTTTGGATTGATCATCATGCAAATATTCACAACACTATGACAATGTTTAAAAAATTCAAAATTGCAATTCAAATGTGGGGGGGGGGGGGGGGGTATTGGGAGGAGTGTTTGGATTAGAGCCGATAACACCCATCAGTATCAGAAATATTAATATCAGGCATTTAACTAATTCAAAAATTGTCATCATGCTGACCAAACAACAAATAAAAAAGAAGAAACAAAAAAGTTGTTTTCTTTTCTGACCCAGTTTGGCGACTTCTGTTTATAACTCTTTTTAATGACTTTTCCTTCTTTCGCGTACTTGAAAAAATAAATCATCAGAACTATTAAATATTCATCACTAAACTTTAACACCCATCAACTCAAGTGCATTTATCTCAACCAATTAGATGTCACTAAAGGCTGCTACTGTTTCGTGGTCCCCGTTTGTCTCTAGGTTGACCTTGAAAAGTGTTTCTGTTCGTAGATTGACCTTGACAAGTTGACGCCGGCGGAGAGGCGGAGGATAGAGGTGTTGCGGAAGAGACGACAGAAGGAGCTGGAGAAGAAGCAGGCGGAGGAGGAAGAGAAAAAGGTGGCAGAAGCGAAGAAGCGAGCAGAGATCGACAAACAGATTCTGCAGGAGCGAATCAAGTAATTATCTAAATTTACTTATTTTTATTAATCAATTTTTTATTTTTTTTAAAAATAAGGGTCTTATGCAATAAACGGCCCAAATTCATTATTTCTACATCTCTTGAACTGAAATTCTTGTGGATGAATTTGATTGGCTAATTAGCGAAGCTAGTTCCATCGACATTTTCTGCCATTTCAATTGAACTTTCAAGCAGATAAAAATATTAGCCGAAATGATAGAGAAAATTAATATTGTTTTTTCAAGCCATTTTACTGAATTTTGCTTGTCTGGGCAAGGTTTCACAAGTGACTCAAAATTAATTGATTATAAATGAATTAATAATTTGACTCAAAGTTCCACCTTTTCGGCAATTTCGGCTCATATTTTTATCTGCTAGAAAAGTTGATCGGAATGCCTGACCGTGTAACTTGAAATTGATTGGCTAAAATTACCCAATCAAATTTGATCGCAAAATTTTCAACTTACGATGTAGAAAATTGATTTTGGGCCGTTTATTGCATAAGACCCAAAAATAATTATTGGTGGTATCTAAACCAGCAGAAGCATCAACTAGCCGAAAATCCGCAAGTGTAATATAATAATTATTTATTTCATTGATGTGATGTAACGTTTCGGCTGGCTTAAATACTCCGCGCATGGTTGGTTGTTTTATACTTGGGCTGGTTTATTTCTCTCTATTTTTTAGTTTGAATTGAAGTATCAAAGGTCAATAAATACAGCAAGACAGAATGAAATATATACACAACCCGGTTGGAATACTTTTTTGATATAAATTTTCATAAAAATGGGGGTATTTGAAAAAATGCTAGACATACAGTTTAGTTCTATGGAACTTGTAAATTCTAACAAATGAAAGTTTCGTGGACTAGAATTTCCTTGAAACAACGCTTCTAATAAAAAACCCTTGATTCTCGGACAATAAAAAAGAATAAGTTCCCACTAAAAAGTATCGCGAAAAATTAGTTAGTTATTGACGATGTGATAATTCCATTTGAAAAAGACCAGCTAAATGTGCTAATATACAATCTCGTTGGAAAAAATACTCCATCAAAGAGGAAAAATAGAGAGATGACTACAATGAGAAAGTACAAGACTGCTCGTATCAGGGCGAAGCCCTGAATGTTCCGACTGCTTTTGAAGGTATATGGAGCAGCAGTAATAACATAAAAACATTATATGAAATAAAATAAAATGAAACTTTTTTTTTCTACAATTTGAAATTTTTTAAGAAAATCATCCCCCACACGCCATATAAAGTACAAAAAGATAGTTTTCGTTCCTTGTAACACATCAATTATGGCAAATAAGCTTCGTTCAACCAATTTGGATCGATTTATAAGACGGAATAAATCTCCGCTTACGCGTTAATAGCGCGAATTATATCGCGCGTTAATTGTCCCAAATAGGTCAAAATGGCCAAAATGGCAATCTTTAAACCCTCATAACTTTACGAAAAATGATCACAGGTGAAATTTCTTTTCAAATTTAAGCTCAGGACAACAATACTTTTTGAATGATTTTTAAAAATTCCGTCAAAAATGGCTAGTTAAAAAGTCGAAATTTGTCTGAAGAAAAAAAACCCACCCCGAGCACAAATATTCCGTTACTTTCGCATCGAAAGTCGGAACAACAAGGGAAAGCTGAAAATCAGACGAAGTTGAATGCGATACAAATAGACAACGTCGACAAAAAACTGAAAATCCAGCTGTGTAGCCACTGAAAAGGAATACCACAAATGTGTCGTCTTTAGGATTTTCACACACAGTCTTGCGAAGCTATCCCTTTTACCGTGCTAAAGCAGGGGGCACTAAGGCTCGGTATTAACGACAATCCCGAAAGGGTTATTTTTAGTGGTGAGTTGTCCTCTACTGTATTCTATTGCTCCCCCTTAGTCAGTGATGCTCTTGCTTGCTATATCTCGCTTGAAGTCGCGTATAACGAATTCCTTTCTCTCTAATGAATTCAATATATGTATAAGTCTGAATGAATACAAAGGGCCTACTAATTCGGCCAGCATATAATTTAGTAATATACAACAGAATGGTTTGCGATCTGTACACACTTAACAATTTCTTCTCTGCGTACTCGGTCAGTACACGTGTCGACTAAGCTCTCTGACTTGTACTAACTTCTGCTCTAACTAATTTTCCACAAGGCACTTCGACTTACGTTCTTACTTCACTCGCTGTGAAACAATTAACAGATGAGTTCAGATAGCGACCACAACTGGGACCTACTGAATCTTACGCTCGTTAACTCGTTCTATTTTTAATCCGCTCTCTAACCTCCACTTCTTCTTATCTCTATTTGTGCTCCGTTTTTGTTAATGTCACGCCACTTCATATCGGTGCTGTCATCCCCTTAATCACAACTGCCCCCTATGGTTTTTCCCTTTTACCTACTCCCCCTGTCAAAGCTGACGGGTCCCAAGTCCGGGGTTTTTATCGACTTGTTCACGTTTTGTAAATACATCCCCCTGCGGTTGGCATCGTAAATCGGGTAAGTACCGAAGTCGTATGATTCTTATCAATTAAATCCCCCCTTCGCTACTTACTTAAATAACATCTGACTTCGGTGTCAAATCTTGACCCAAGCAACAAAGTCATACGACCCCAATAAACTAACCATAACCCGATTTTGAACCAAATTTACTAATATTTTCACTATCATGTTAGGATAAAATGCGCAGAAAATACGCTAAGTCGAAAATTTGCTAGAATTACCAATTTGAAAGTCGGAACAACAAGGGAAAGCTGAAAATCAGACGAAGTTGAATGCGATACAAATAGACAACGTCGACAAAAAACTGAAAATCCAGCTGTGTAGCCACTGAAAAGGAATACCACAAATGCTTCGTACACAAGAATCCGTCAAAATGCAGCTTAGACATCAACTGTGGGAATCACTGAAGTTTCGGGAATCACTTTCCATCTTTGGAAATCACTTTAACTAGAATTAGTCTTATCTATGAGCGCTACATATTAGGATATTTGAAACTTGAACTATGTATCTACTATCTTACCGGCACTGACAAAGTTGAGATTGAAACCGATTTTAATCAATATTTATACAGATAATATACTGTATAGAAATCGATCTACGATAGCCCAGTTCGATACGTCAATTGATTTAGAATAGATTGAATTTAGTTTTAAGGTAGGACAAAATCGATTTTTGTTGCATAAAAATGGATTTAAATCCATTTAAATGGATTTTCGCAAGGTAGTAAAAATCATCAAAATCTCAACAAAGCTGATTTAACTTCTATGTTTTTTGTTTCGAAGCTCGTGCAAATTTTTTACTCACAAAAATCCTAAAGAGGGCAAGAATGAGTCACTCGAGGAGAGTTTTTTTAATGCGTACTATTGCGCTCAAGGGGCTTCCTTTCAAATTGTGCAAAACTAAGGTTTCGCGCGTTAATGAGAAGTACAATTGTGTAAAAGTTTTTCAAGAATAGTTTTCATTATAAACGTTTTAGACTCAATTTTTTAGGCAAATAACGTATGACTTTACAAATCAAAGTGGAAAAATAGAATTTTGGTGCAGAACATCAAAACAAAAAGTCAATTGAAAAGCATTGCTAATAATTCAATTCCACTATTTCTCTATTGTTTGATAGTCTAGAAAATCTGAATATCATCTGTATAAAATCTGTATATAATCTGTAATCTGTATAAATTGATTATACAAAAAAAATTGTAAAGGAGGGCCAAAGCACTAAAAAAACAGTTTTTTTTGCGAAATTTTGAAAATTGAAAAAACAGGTCAAAAATAGCAATTTTAGGCACTTTTTTGAAAATTTCTAACAAAAAATTGCATTTTTTCGGCGCGCGCTACCCTTAAAAAATTAGTATTTATTGGCGTCAAAGGCGCCCTTAGAAAAATTTTAGGGTCCGTCAGCCAAAAACGAATGTCTCAAAATAGTTCAAAGGGGGGTCTGCAGGGCGTCGGATCCCTAAGGGCAAGGCATCTGCCCCCTCCAAATCCCCCCTGAATGTGTGCATGTTTAAGGGAGGCAGAAGAGGCGCAGAGGAAGGAGGAGGAGGCTACCCGATTGGCCGAATGGGAAGCTAAGCGTAAGGAGGAGGAGGCGAGGAAGAGGGAGAGGATGAAGCGACTGGAGGAGCAGCGGATGATAGAGCGACTGAAACAGGAGAAATTAGAACAGGAGGCTCGGGCCGCAGGTCACAATTAGGGGGGGGGGGTTAATGATTGATATTGATATGCATGATCTCACATGCATGATCTAGCTGTAGATCATCATTAAAAGGGGGAGGTCATTGCATCTAGCACTGTGATTTAATGATATAGAGTATAGTACCACACACAAACTTTAGAGCGAGTGATGATCCGAGCCATGACATGTACTCGTCGCCATGGGTGCGGCAACAGTTCTATAATTCTTATTAGCAGTAGCGTGCGCAGAAAAATTTTCTGGGGGGGTGCTTCATGCTTCTTCGAAAAAAAATTTGATAACTTTGTCAATTTTTCTATTGGATGACCAATTTGTTTTTCCGAGCACTCCGCTAATACTATAAAGACCCTATTTTATCAAAAACTTTCTCGGAGCAGAATTTTTTTTGAAAAAAGAGGCTAAAAATCAGGGGCGGATTTAGGGGGGGGGGGGCGGGGGGGCGGACGCCCCCCCCTCAGGGATTCGACCCCCTGCCGACCCAAAGGGTCCCCCCTTTGATACTTTTTCAGAAATCCATTTTTGGCCGACCGACCCTAAAATTTTTCTAAAGGCGCCTTTGGCGCCAATATATACTAACTTTGAGGGGGAGCGCGCGCCAAAAAAACGCGATTTTTTTGTCAAAATTTTTCAAAAATTGCCCAAAAACGGCTTTTTTGACTGTTTTTTCATAAATTTGCCTGCGGCGCACAAAATTTTGCCAAAGTAGGGGCAAAACATTGCTTTGGGAGAGCTTGAAAAATCAATTTGGTCGACTTAAAAAAAAAAAAAGGTCGTCAAAATTTTGGAAAATTTTTTGAAAATCCGCCCCCCCCTCGAGAAAATCCGAGATCCGCCCTGCTAAAAATGAAGTTTTGAGCACTTATAAAATATTTGAAGAAAAATTGCGTTATTCAGCGCGCGTCCCCACGCACCCTCAAATTTTATTATTTTAGCTCCGAAGGCGCCTCTAGAAAATTTTTTGATATTGGCCAGCCGAAAATATATCTCGTAAAAATATATCAAAGGGGGTCCATTTGAAAAAATTTGGCTGTCAGAATTGAGGGGGGGAAGCGCCCCCCCCCCCTCTGCTGTGGGGGGATGAATTGAGGGGGGATGAGTTTTTAACCTGTGAAAAACCACGGTTATGAGTAAAGATCTGTAAAATCTTGTATACTTGAGATGAAGACTATAATTGATGAAGACTTGAAGAAATAAGATTGATTTTATATTTGGGAATCTTTTCCACTAACGACAAAAACTTTAAATTACAAAAAAATTGCTTATCAGTGAGAAGCAGGGGCAGATTTAAGGGGGGACGCCCCCCCCCCCCCCCCCCCCCTCAAGGTTTGTTCATTGTTGACCCATTGACTGACACTTCATTTTTTATACTAAAATATTCTAATTTTAAAGGGGAATGCGTGCAGAAAAAACGCGATTTGCGGCCTGTTTTTTGAAAAAAAAATTGACTGCGGTCAAAATGAGGTCTTTATACTGATTTCAGAGAGCTCAGAAAATTTTTTAAAAATCCCACAAAATTTTCGAAACTTCTTTAAAAATCCACCCTCGAGAAAATCCTGGATTCGCCCTTGGTGGGAAACCTTGTAAGTATCGACTGCCCTTGACGTCTATGAAACCATTTTTGATTTAAAATTAGTTTTGCCCAGATGTACGAGCCGAACAGTCTTGTGTAAAAAATATGCACCTTTTGACAATTATTGCAAAAAATTGGTCTTGTTTGTTTTTTGTTGAAAGTCACTACGTTTTTGAGTTTTTTTTTAGCCAGCTTCTAATCAGTTCGGTTCATGTTTTTTTTTTAAATTTAAACGAGTATTAATGAGCAAAATGTTTTACTTTAAACAAATTCTCAATAATTATTAGTTTACGTTGTAAGCATAAATTCTGCTGCTCTAGAATTTCCGGTTCTTATAAGCCAACTTAAACAAACAAACTGAAGCTCTACTTTTTTTTATGCGAATACGAGTTTATGCGACTATAATAATAATAACTGTAGTTCCTGCGAATCGCAGAGGAGCTATCAGTAGGCCTTAACAGTCCTGTCGAGGATAGTCCGTTTGTATTATTTCCCCACATTCCAGACTGTGTTATTTTGTTGAGCGAAGCCCTTTTTTGCGACTCAAGGCCGTTTTTGTGCGTCTAGAACTTTCACGTGGTACCACTTTTGCAGCCAAATTTGGTCAGGTTGTGGTAGACCTGAAGCTAGAGGTCAAGTGAGAGCTCGTCCTCACACACTATCATTGCCATGGCATGGGATCGATTAAACGATCTGACGATTCTAAAGTGAACGCCTTACCACTATGCTAAGTGCCCCATGAGTTTATGCGACTACGAGTTTTGCATAGATGGTTTTTCGTTAAATTGGTGAGTTTTTTTTCAAATAATAGCTTATTTGTAGTCTTTAGCGTTAGATTTACTGTAGCTCAGAAGCCGCCATACTGTCTTTCAATGATATATAAATTTTGTCCAATTAAGCAGAAATTTACCGTTATCTTGAACCATTTTGTAGCAAAAACTCTGAAATTATTTATAATACTTTCAAAAAACTAAAACAATTTTTCAAATTGGCAGTTTTGTTTAATTTATTGGCCAAAAATTTAGGGCAAAAAATAAATAAAACAAAATAAATTTTCGAGTTACTTAAAAATAAAATTTTTTCGTCGTCTTCCTTGTTTATTAAAATGATAATTACATATAAAACAAAGTTCGGACCAAAATCCATTGTGCAAACAGTTGAAGTCTGAAAAATGTTCAAAAGCAAATAGTTTATGTGACTTTATTGACACTTGTTTCATTTCATAAATTCATTTCCTAAATTTTTTTTCTTTTTTTTCTGAAAAATATATGGTTTTGCTTTCATTACTTTTGTATGCACACTGCATACTGTAGCCCTCAAAAAAGTCTTCTGATGGAATCAATTCAAAAGTCACCTTTCAAAGGTTAGAGATATGTAGAATTTGTTTCTGTTCGTTTCTAGGTTATGGGCAGAAAAGACTACCCGAGAAAAAAATATATATATTTTTTTGAAGAGAAGGGCTGAAAGGAGGAAATAAAGGGTTTAAGTTTAATAAAACTGGATCGTTAGAACGGTCCGTTGGATCCATTTTTTTTATTTTTCGCTTAATGAGACACCTGAAAACGAGCCGTGCTGGGTTAGTGGTGTTCTCCCATACGATTCCAGTTTGTATTTGTAAGTTGTTGTAAATAGCTATGTAACTTTATATTGTTTGGAAACAATTTATTAGCAAGCTATTAGGCTAAAAATATATGTGAAGTTACAAAATTACGGATTTACTAGGTGTTTCATTTTTGTTTATCTGTACTTTCAGAAAAAGACGTATTTGGGTGCAGTTTTACAAACAAGTTTCGAGTCTTGATATAACTGTCTTTTAAATCCATGACCAACATTTCGTTTATCCTCGAAAACTTTTAAAAAAAACTTTTTAAACGCACTGCTTGTTCTGTATAGCCGTTTTTTGTCTAAGCGATTTTCGACACATTTTTTTAGGACAAAAACTATTCATAGTTGATGCAAGTCATTCCTGATTTAAATGTTAAGAATTTGGACTGTACATTTGATCCCTTCAATGCAACTATAATTCATTTCTTATTACTCTAACAAAAGTTTCCATCTTCCATTTTTTTGTAAGTCTTAATTTTTTTAAAAATACAAAATACTCAAAATAGAGGGCATTTTCAACGACCAAATTTTCTAATTAATAATTTTTCAGTTAGAGCGCTAGCGGTTTTTTTTGGTTTTCTGTGAAAGTGTTTCTCCAGTTTCAAAATGTTTTTCCATTTGAAACTGTTCCTCTTGTTTTCAGTTCTAAGTTTTAAGTTACTTTCTTAATAAAAAGGAAAACCAATAAAATGTAAGCTTCAAAAGTGGATTTTGTGTCTTCGCAGCGACATTATTGTGTATTAACCTAAAACCTAATTATTGTGTAGTAACCTAATTAATGTTCCGACTTTCGATACGAAAGTAACGGAATATTTGTGCTCGGGGTGGGTGGTTTTTTTTTCAGACAAATTTCGACTATTTAACTAGCCATTTTTGACGGAATTGTTTTATATCATTCGAAAACTATTGTTGCCTTGAGCTTAAATTTGAAAAGATATTTCACCTGTGATTATTTTTCGTAAAGTTATGAGGGTTTAAAGATTGTCATTTTGACCAATTTGGGACAATTAACGCGCGATATAATTTGCGCTATTAACGCGTAAGCGGAGATTTAATCCGTCTTAGAAATCGTTCCAAATTGGTTGAAAGAAGCTTATTTGCCATAATTGATTTGTTACAAGGAGCGAAATCTATTATGTTGTACTTTATATGGCGTGTGGGAAGATGATTTTCACAGAAAAATTTTCAAATTTAAAAAAAGTTTTTCATTTTATTTTAGTTCATTCCATTTTTTTATGTTGTTTAAGTTATTACTGCTCCATAAACATTAAAAGGCAGTCGGAACTTTCAGGGCTTCGCCCTGATACGAGCAGTCTTGTTTTATATAAAACTAATTATTGCATATTACTTATATTGTTGTATATTGACCTAATTTTGATCATGTTAACTTAATTATTGTATATTAACGAGGTCTTTCTGTATACTATTTTTATAGCGGAGATCCAAAGCAACCTTCCCTGAATTCTCAGACATTTGATGCGGTTTAGGTAGAGGAGTCCCAGAACTCCACATCTGATAACTGAAAGTGCTAGCAGAAAATTGTTTTTTCTTTAAGAAATTTCTGAAAATGTCATCTTTGCGTGAAACTTCTAGAGCATTGCGAGATATGAATTGTATTGCATAATTTAGATAAGTTAATTCTTCTTAAAATAAGATTTTTCACTTTAGCAGATAGTTTCAGTTCACTCTATCATCCAATCAGAGCTCATCTCCTATCGTTCAAATGCATCCTCATCCCAATTCAACCACCTTCATTTCATCTTGCTAGTTTCGAATTTTTTTTTGAATAGTATCTATACGGCGTGAACAGGTAATGACATCATAATTGAACCAGCTTTAGAACACATTTCGACGCCATAATTCAATTGTGACGAAAAAAATGACCTTACTCAGAACTGTATAATTATTGTCTATACCCAAATGCTCATTTTTAAAACAGTCGAGCTGTGCTAAATTATGTTTCATTTGATGAAATCACAGGTGGAGGGGGCGCCAAAGGTAAGACTCATCTTCTGAATTGGTTATTCTTCTTTTGAGGTTTCAGGAGACCCTGTTGCTGAAGGTAAGCAAGAAGTGATACTATTGTGATTGGTTTGACCTCTATTTAACTCAGTAATTACACTTCAAATTTAAAACTAACGGCCTAAATGTAATTTCACAATCATGTGATACTGCTAGAATTGAGGGATACTCAATCCAATCGGGGTATACTCAATGGGGTATACATCAAACCAATTGTTGGAAAACAAAAGTTTTATTTTTAACTTGCTTGAAAATTATCATTTTTTCTGTTTTTTTCTTGCAAGCTTTAAAATGAATGTGAATAACTTTTTTCAATCCAATGTCAGTCGATCCATGTAGCAAGCCGATTGATATATAGGCTATTTTTGAAAAATATGTTTTAAAATATGTTTTTCTAAAATTTTTCGAAATGATTTGAGTGTCAATACGAAATGTTTATCGAACTTTTCCTCAACAATACATACAGTGCTGCAACTAAAAATTGCAATGTTTTGTTAGCAACAAGCAATTAAACTCAAGTTTTAACTGTTTTTTGGGAATTGTTAATGAAACTGCCTGAAACAAAAAAATTGTTGTTAATAATGCTACCTGAAAAATACTTGCTGGATAAAAATTTGCAAAACCATATTTTGAAGGTTCTAAATGGTCATTTAGTCACATGTTGATAAACAGGTGTTCGATTTCCCCAAAAAACTTTTCGAACGCAGCACAAGTGGCACGAATTCAAGGACTGAAATATATTTTTTTCCTTGTAATGCGCTCAACAAGCACTACAATTTTTCATGATGTGTTAACTAAAAAAAATTGAAATTTAAAAAAATCACCAAAAAGAATGCACTAAAAAAGAATCTTGTTATTATATTATAAGAGCTTTGAAAAACTAATTCGGACAAAAGAATTTCGTAAGAAACTAACTCTGACACACTTTTGCTGTTTTTGATATTTCGAAACTTTATATTATCTAGTAGTCTCTAGCAGACACTCTGCAAATTTTCATATCAGACACTGCTGAAATGTGTTTACCCCAAGAAGAGAAACCTATAGAAGAACTTTAAGTGCGCATGAAAATCATTATTCAATCAAAAGCACGAACTGTTTGCCTTTTAATTATTCTAGTTATAATTGATTATCACAGCAGATATAAAGCAAAGTTGGCAAAAACATTTATTTGCGCGAAACGCACCCCGGTTGACAACACAGACAATAAAAAGTTTGTCAAACAATTCCATACAAGAAAAATGCTTTGCAATACCATTCATTGAGGGTATGTAACAAATGCTTTTCATACAATTTCCATGCATGCTATTTTTTGCCACTCGGTTTACAGGTGAAAATTTTTTAAAATCAGGGAAAACTTTGTTCTGCTTTTTAGTCGCAAAATCACTTCTATGCACGAACAAACATATTTTTGCTTTCTACTAAAAACCTTCGTACAATTTTCATGAGTGGTTAATCGTATATCACACATTTTTCAGATTTTTCTCTACGTATGGAGTTACATGGAATTGTATAACACAAAATTTTCATTTGTGAGATCGGAACGCAAAATATTTCATTGTAAGCTTTTCCATTGCAAGCTACAGTTTAGAAACTTGAAAAACAATTTTGTTAGACTTTCAATCAGTTTTTAATTTTTGCTGAAAATTAAAATGTTTAGATCTTTTATAGTTGTCTAATTATTGGTGCAAAACTTAAGACTCACACAACAAATTGACAATTGACAATAATCATTGTCTGAATAAAAAATCGGCACTTATTTTTCATTATTTCTGCACCAACATGCAACCGATTACAATCAGCAGTTTTTTAATTTACTATTCATTTTGCTAGGGTTTTTCAGTGTGATTGGAAAAAAGGTTACAACAAAAAAACGTCAAAAAGAGACTTGTCCATTTTTTGACACCGGATCTTCTAAAATTTTCGCGAATTCTAATAAGTCCAAAAATTCAGAGGACGAAAATTTTTGGACCCATCAAGGGACCAGTGAATACGCACCAAATTTTCAAATTTTCAAATAGAAGAACTTTAAGTGCGCATGAAAATCATTATTCAATCAAAAGCACGAACTGTTTGCCTTTTAATTATTCTAGTTATAATTGATTATCACAGCAGATATAAAGCAAAGTTGGCAAAAAACATTTATTTGCGCGAAATGCACCCCGGTTGACAACACAGACAATAAAAATTTTGTCAAACAATTCCATACAAGAAAAATGCTTTGCAATACCATTCATTGAGGGTATGTAACAAATGCTTTTCATACAATTTCCATGCATGCTATTTTTTGTCACTCGGTGTACAGGTGAAAATTTTTTAAAATCAGGGAAAACTTTGTTCTGCTTTTTAGTCGCAAAATCACTTCTATGCACGAACAAACATATTTTTGCTTTCTACTAAAAACCTTCGTACAATTTTCATGAGTGGTTAATCGTATATCACACATTTTTCAGATTTTTCTCTACGTATGGAGTTACATGGAATTGTATAACACAAAATTTTCATTTGTGAGATCGGAACGCAAAATATTTCATTGTAAGCTTTTCCATTGCAAGCTACAGTTTAGAAACTTGAAAAACAATTTTGTTAGACTTTCAATCAGTTTTTAATTTTTGCTGAAAATTAAAATGTTTAGATCTTTTATAGTTGTCTAATTATTGGTGCAAAACTTAAGACTCACACAACAAATTGACAATTGACAATAATCATTGTCTGAATAAAAAATCGGCACTTATTTTTCATTATTTCTGCACCAACATGCAACCGATTACAATCAGCAGTTTTTTAATTTACTATTCATTTTGCTAGGGTTTTTCAGTGTGATTGGAAAAAAGGTTACAACAAAAAAACGTCAAAAAGAGACTTGTCCATTTTTTGACACCGGATCTTCTAAAATTTTCGCGAATTCTAATAAGTCCAAAAATTCAGAGGACGAAAATTTTTTGGACCCATCAAGGGACCAGTGAATACGCACCAAATTTTCAAATTTTTATCTCTTGTTTTTGCGCATTCTGAAGAGAAAGTTAAATTTGTCAGGTTTTCCAAGAACACATTTGAGTAAATAAGCTTACACTTTAGTACTACCTAACAGGATGTTGTTACATCAACTAACTTCTAACTAGTTAAAGCTAACTGGCCAACTAAAACGTGCAAAATAAAAGTTTCCAGTTTTTATCCTTCCAATGGTTTCATCAACCGTGCTTCAAAATTTCAATCTTGGACATTCAATAATTGCAGATAAAACGGCAAAAAGCTTTAAAAAAATACTCATTCGCTCGGTTTTTATTGGGAAAAATTGTCCCGCGATTGTATCAAAACCTTTATTGCTTTATGTGAGACCCAGCTGGAAATTTGGTCTAAATTTTTTCTCGGATCAAGTTAACATCCTCCAAATTAAGACCCTCCACCCCCTAGAGTTCATGTGAAGTTAAACTTACTAAGTGCTGCGTTTAAAAAGCTCGTTATTCTGATTGGCTGAAAAATTCGAACTTAGAACCAAGCTAACGGTAGTAGGTCAGTAAATCGATATATCAAAAAAAACGAAAACAGACGGACCAGATCAGTAAATCAAAAATTAATGATTCAATTACGTAATCACATTAGCTAAAAACTTAAATTTTTACAAAATGACAATTTTTTTCTTCAAAACAAAAATTGGATCAAATAAAGAAATAAAATAGCTCTTCCCAAGAACCTCTCAGTTTTAAAATTATTGTTCTAGCTCAGGGAAAATTTGTTCTATAAATCTTTAATTTCGCAATTGATGTTATTCTTACGTAAATCGGTTTAGTGATCTGGTAATTTACTGACACATCGGTTTACTGTACGCACCCCCAAGTTAACATCCATGTCCCTAAACGGCTTTGGGGGGAGGATATTAACTTTGGTCTCTTTTTTTTCTAAAATTAATTCCACCCAAATTAAACAAAACCCATCTCCTAATTAAACATCCCTCTCCTGTTTTTCAGCCCTGGCACTAGAGCGCGAGGCAGAGGAGGCCAGAAGAAAAAGGGAAGAGGAAGAAAAACTGGCCCAGATGGCCCAGATTGAACGAGAGGCTTACGAGAGACTAAAGCGTGAACAAGAGGAAGTCGAACAGTAAGAGTTTTTAAAGACTTTATATTAAAATTTCATGCAAACGTTCTTATAATGTTTTCAATCGAAGTTATAAATTTTTTTAGTTTTATTTCTTCTTAAGCTAAACATTAATCGTTCGCAAACATATTAGTAACCTCTTTTTTTTCAAATCTGGTCAAATTGACTAACACGATTGAACATTTAAAAATAAATAAATAATTTCTAAACTGTTCAATTTAAGTACACTTTCGGGATCTTTTTTCCCCGCGCGATTGGTTTGTTTCTATCATTTCTTTCCAACTGTCTCTTTCGAACTGCAGTTTGAGACGCGAGCAGGAGGAGCGGGAACAACGTGAACAGATGGAGAAGATTCTAGAAGAATCTAGAAGGATGGCAATCGAGATGCAGCAAAAACAAGTAGAAGCCGAGGCCAAGGCTCTATTTAACAAGTCTGTTCCATTTTGGTGACCGGCCTATTAGCATGTGTGTCGATTAGCATGCCCATGTAAAAGAATGAAAGATGAAGACTCGCTATTTCACAGGGTTGTCGAAACTATTTGAAAATTTAGGCATATTTGTTTTTCGTCTGAAAGCACTCCCAGTTAAAACAATTAGTGTATGCTAATAGTGACACATGCTATTCGCTACGTCCCCGTTCTCTTTCTCAATTATACTACTAGTTCTTTCACACTTCATCAACAAACCTTTTTGTGTAAGATTTAACTCTCAAACTTACCTGCAAATCCAGCTTGATTGATGTTCAATATATGAAAACTATATAAAACTAAAGGAGTGTGCCAAAAGGGGCGAATCTAGGATTTTCTTAGGGAGAGGGGTTACGAATTTTCAAAACACTTTCGAAAATTTTGTCGATCTTTTTTTTAGGTCGACTAAATTGATCTTCCGAGCACTCTCAGAACACTATATTGACCTTATATTGAACAAAATTTTTAAGTCGACGGCAAACGTTTGAAAAAACAGGTCAAAAAAGTGGTTTTTGGGAACTTTTTGAAATTTTTTGTCCAAAAAATAGCGTTTTTTCGTGGCGCGGGCTCCTCCACAAAATTAATATATATTGACGCCTTTAGAAAAATTTCAGGGTTGGTTGGTCGAAAATGGATGTGGTGAGGGGGTCGGACCTTTCGGTTGGTGAGGGGGTCGAACCACTGAGGTAAAAGAACGTTTTGACGTTTTGTGATGTGCTTCGTCACAAGGCTAGCGGTGGTGGGGTTAGAAGAAAACGAGAAGGAGGGGGAGGGGGAGCAGGGACGTTTTTAGGGGGCAGGGGCGGTTGGGGGTGGGGGCGGACGCTTTTTCTCCCCCTCTCAGGGATTCGATCCTTTGCCAACTAAAGGGCCCCCTTTGGTAGTAATATTTTTGCCATCCATTTTTGGCCGACCAACCCTAACTTTTTTCTAAAGGCCCAAAAAAGCCCATAATTTTTTCTAAGTTTCCAAAAAATGTCCAAAAATGAGGCGCAGAACATTTTGTTAAAAAATAGGGTCTTTTTACTGTTCTGGGAGCGCTCGGAAAATCAATTTGTTCGACCAAAAAAGTCAACAAAACTTTCGAATTTTTTTTGAGAAACCGCCCTCCCTCCCGATAAAATATTAAAGCCGCCCCTGTGTGGGGTTGGGAGGGATTGAAGGGACTCACAAACTATACATTACAAGGTATTTGTTCCTAATTTCCGCGACAATTTTTTTTCAGGGGTCTATTGGGTTTTCATGTTTCGTGATTTGTCGTGTTAAATTAGGAGTCTGAGAATGGAGTATGAGCTATTAGAGAAGAATCAAGAGATCAGTCGGGCATTCGTCTACTCGTACTTCGAACTCATGCGCATCATGGAGAACCTAGAAGACGAAGAAGAGGACTAAACTCTATTGACCTCACTTTTTTCAGTCAAATTAAGTTCTCTCTTTTTGAGGGAACCTAAATTTTCTCCACCAATAAGTGATCAACTTACTGATTTGGTTTCTCTGATTGATTTCAATAATTCGATTTTTTACGAGTGAAATTTAAAAAACCTCGAATTGTCGTGGAATGTTTTTGTAGATATTTCAACGCTGTGAGAATATATAATTTACGTAAGTTTATTTTAGTTAGTAGCAGGTTTTTTTTTGAAGTGAGTCCAAGGATAACTTAATTAGGAAAAAAAGATCGAGTTGAGATAATTTTTTGTTATTGGCCATTTTTAAGCTCACATAACTAAAACTAGAATTAAACTAAACCATTTTGAAGCTCAAATAACCAAAACTAGAATTAAAAACTGTCTGATCCCAAATCAGCTGGGTATATACTACAAGAAAAAAATTATTCATTCAGTCCTTTTTTCAAATTGTCAAAAAACGAGTTCCGTTTCACTTAACTATATGAGCACAATATATGTATTCGCCAAAGATGACAAGATGTTGAGGTGGCTTTAGAGTTGTTGTCTTTTTAAACTTTTACACCATTTGAAAATTATTTACGGTTTGACCAAAGCTAACGGTTTCAAAAAAGGGGTTTCATGGCATTTTTTCCCGCAAACGTGAATTCAGCGCTCTAGATAGAAACAGAGCAAGGATTCGATTTTTGCTTATGATCTAATCATCATTGACATTTTTGCAAATAGTCGATTTTGCTAAAAATTGTCGCCGAAGTACAATTGAATTTAAATTTTAGTACACATGTTAGAAATTTTTCAGTTTTTGTGTCTCTGTGTTTTATTTATATATCATGAGATGTAAATAAGCTTTATCTATATTTTTGATAGAATTTTGATGAACAAAACTAGTTTTTTTTAATGAAAAATGCGAGTAATCTGAGACTATTAGAATTTAAAATTTTTCTTAGTACCCGGGTGGACTAAAAGTTGGTAAGACTTACAACTTATCTCATAAGGATCTTATAACTTATCTTAGAAGGATCTTAAAATTTTTACAAAGTTAGGCTCTAAGAATGTTACAAGATCTTACAATTTTGCTAGAAAGTAGTAAAGATAGAAACTTATTTTACAAATAATTTTCAGAATTTTTTGATATGTTTATTTTTATAATTGTTTTCTTATAACCCAGTCTAAAAGTTCTCCGCTGACACACAGAATAATAATTGAATTTCTTAGGCTAAACTACACATTTCGCTAGATGAGTTTCTTATTGAAAAATCCACCAACTTTCCAAGTCAGTTTTTTGCCGATAAAAATTTTGTCGAATCCCACATACAACAAGTCCGCATTTATATGACATGATTCGTCAACGTTAATTTTTTATTGTCTTTAAAATAATTTCAAACCACTAATTACGTATAACCAGGAGATTAATTGAAAAAAAAAACATTTTTTTTGCGGAATTTTTTGTTCGAAACGCATATATTATGACTAATATCTTTTATTTATTATAACTAAGTTTATACATGAAAATATTTGAAAAAAAATAAAATTTTCCAAAATTGATTCGAATTTGTTAATATGATATAGAAACACATTCAAACTGTTTTCGGCATTTTTTTCAAGTTTTGGAAAAAAGTTACAATCTTAGAACTTTTCGTATAAGAAATTTGAAAGATAGCGGAAACTTCGTTAAGATAGCGGAAACTTCCTACAAATCTTATAAGAAGTCTTAAGATATGGGAACTTTTGTAGGATGGTCAATCCGAGTAAGCATTTGTTCCTTGAAAATCATGTGTTTCCGAATTGTCTTCCAACTTTTTTGCCTGCGCCTAAAACTACGGAAACTTTAACTACCGGATATCGCAAAGTTTTCAAGTATCGATTGTTACAATAATACATCTCAAATAGTACCCAATTTTTTTAAACTGAAAATTGAAGTACATTAATTAAAATTTTGTGTTTTTTTTCAGCTGCAAATACTAAATTTATGTCAACATAACCCGAAGACACGTAAAAGTGCTCTTGGAAAACGATTGTCAAAATTTTCTAATTCTTTGCCCATATGATCCCAGAACGCTTGGCTACAGCTATCTCTTAACTACTTTGTTCTAGAAAGAAAGGTGCGTTAAATTGCCCATTTTATCTGTTTTTATATCTTCAACTTGTAAAATCAAATTCATTGCACAACTCCACATATTTCAAAAAATTTTGAAAATAGTTGAAATTGTTAAACCAAAAAGATTCTAGTCTGTTTACTTTTGGCTAACAACCACTAAATTTAGCCGATAAGCTAGCATAGCTTACGAGTGAACCTCTGTTTTAACCCGATGTTATACCCTTTTTTCGGCGAAGGTGCGACTTAAGAAAAATAAAATAAAATTCCCAATCCTCCAAACACAAAAGTGATTATCTGAAAAACGTTTTTATCATATTGCTGGGTTACAACATTTTTTTAAAATTAATATTTAGGAAAAACATTATTTTTTTAACGTTTTTGGGGGTTAGTATAGATTTATTGCCTCGGCCAATGATTGCATGAAAAATTGATCGACAAAACTTTAATTTGAAATACTTAAGGCGTGCTAATTTTTCAATTATCTCAAAATTTGTTTGAGTTTTATCCAATTTCACGCAAAAACTAAAGAATAATTGATAACCGTAGCATTCAAGGTTGCGCCATGACAAACCAGCTTCATTCATAAATAACATTCAGAAATAAATTTTGTTTTTATGCTTAAAATGGTCAGTCATTTAGAATACATTTTCTTGAAAAAAAAACATGAAGCAAAAGTTTTATAGTTCTCATTGAAGAGACTAAAACAAAACGTCCAAATAATGAGTTATATTAAAACAAACTAGATTTACAAACTCAGACAAAACTGGCAGGTTTTCAAGTTATCTGGATCAAAATTAGTTTTTAAGTTCGCATTCCGGCTATTCACTTTTTACCTAAAAACTAGCGAGGCTTTTTTTTCTGAATACTTTTTCTGGCGCATCAGCTGCCCGCAAAAAAACCAAGATCGTAAACATTTGCCTTGTTTCACAATCCGATATTTTTTTGCTATTTTTATTTCTTTCAAATTCTAAAACTAAAACAATTAACCCAAAGTAAAACGACCCTTTTAGGCGAATGCGCTGCTTTAAAAAATCAAGTATAATTTCTAACTTTACAAATATATAAAAGATAATCTGACGAAAATTTTAACAAGTTGCTCGATTGCAAACAATTAATATCAGTTTATTTAGAATACGCTTCAAATTTAGATTTTTCTTGAGAGGGGGGTAGTGCCGATTCCCTGCAGTTGCCAATGATTTTCGAAGCAAGATTTTTACACGTTGCCAAAACAAATTTTCGTTCAGCAAAAAATGAAAATTTTGCGCTCGTTAGTCTATTTTCTCGACAATTTTGACTATTTTAAAAATATATAGACAATTTTTCCGGTGCTGAGCTGAAAACTTAAATCGAAAAAGAGAAAGATTTTTAGGGGTTTGAAAATTGTGGTAAGCTTAACGCAAGATTATGTAGTTTCGATAGCTGAAAGTGGCTTAACTTCCAATTATCTGTTACGGTGTACCCGACGAGACTATCCGGCTCTGAAAAAATAAATTAAAAAAGCATAAGTCTGAATGCCCATAAGATTTTGTTATATGACGCAAAATATGTCGTTTTTTAAGTTTCCTTGCGCGCGAAGACGAGATTTTTTTTTAAAAAAACACTAATTATCTCTGGTTTGAACGTTTCATCGTTTCATCAAATTTAAGCCAAAATTTACAAAGTAAGTTTTAGTCCTAGCATTCAAGATTACGTTATGCCAAAAACAGCTTCGGTCATATCTAGAAACCATACTACAGTTTTGTTTTTATGGTTTAAATTGTCATTTGGATAACAAAAACCTCGACCGATAACAGAGGTTTTCTTAATTTTTATTTGAAGAGGCTAATATAAAACATCCAAATTATAAGTGATTTGAACAAATTACATTTACAAAATCAGACTAAATTAGTCGAGTTTTCACGTTGTCTGAATCAAGGTGGGTTTTGAAGCTTGTTCTGATTCTATCCATCTTCTGGCACTGCAAAGCTATCGAGGCCCTTCTTTGACTGCCTTTTTTGGCCCATCATTTGACCTACAAAAAACCAAAACCTTAAAAAGGCAGAAAAATTCCAGAAAAATGAAAAGTTATCACTGTTTTTGATTGGCAAAAATTATTTAAAAAGCGTTTACAGCAGTCGGAACTTTCACAACTTAGCTTTGTGTTGAAGAAGTTTGGAATTCGCAACTCAAATCTCTAAAATCTACGGTTTTACATTGTTGGGAGACTAACTGTTTGCGGACGTATTTGTATTTGCTTCTTTCGTAATCATGATGATCTTGTGAGCTCCTAGACGATGACTGATGGCGATGATGGTGAGTTCGGCTGTCTTCGTGATGGGCAGAATGATGTCGGTGATCTCGTCTCGTGTCGCCTCGACTATCTCGTTGACTGCTGTGCTCTTGAGTCTCGCTGTGCGACTGATTCGAGTGGTTAGATTTTGAAGAAGATCTGATTTGCCTTAAAAAAATCTAATTAAAAAAGATAAAAATTGTTGCCATACCAAGATGCTCAAAATTGCTTAAAATAAACGTCGCCAAAAGAAGATGCTTAAAAGTTGCTCAAAACTAAATTCATTCTAGTATCCCAATTCCTTCTTCAAAGAAAACCTAAAAATCTTGACAGAAAGCTCTTATTCTCCATGCTCCTAATCTTACGGCAACTTCCTCTTCATAGGTCTGGCCGTTGTAAATATTTTGTTCCCAATAGTGAACATTCATTCCTGAAAGTTCATTCAACCAATTCAAAAGCTCAAATAAGGGAAAATCGTTTGACTTATAGCGCTTTAGTTTATCTTCTTTTTTTAAACTTTCTAGTTTTTGTTGCTTGAAATAGCAGCGTTCAAAGAAATCTGTCACCTTTTTGATGAGCTACTTTCTGAATGTCGATCTTGATGCTCAGGCGAGTGTGCTCTCTTCGACCTTCTGGTTTGGCTTCGATCCTCAGTCGGGTCACTTTCTTTTTCTTCGTGCTCACTGCAACGCAAAAAACTTCATTCTGCTTAAAACTTATAATCGAATGCTCATAATTTCTAAAGACTAAAAAATGTCTCACCGGCAAATTATTTTCATTTTTGGGATTTTTTTTCTCGAGATTTTTACAATTTTCAGTTTTCTGTCCTTGGCGGGATAGCATCCCACTCTGT